GTCAGCACTTCATAAGGAACATTCATGCCATGTTTGGTTTCATTCCATTCAGTGGTTCTCTAAAAGAAGACATTCATATGTATTTCCCTTAGGGTCCTATGTTAAACTAAGTCCCCAGCTGGCGGCCATCTTGGATGATGGATCGGCTTCAAAGTAACAACACTTGGTCAGCACCTCAAAAGGAACATTCATGCCATGTTTGGTTTCATTCCATTCAATGGTTTTTTAAAAGAAGACATTTGTATGTATTTCCCATAGGGTCCTATGTTAAACTAAGTCCCCCGCTGGCGGCCATCTTGGATGATGGATCGGCTTCAAAGTAACAACACTTGGTCAGCACCTCATAAGGAACATACATGCTATGTTTGGTTTCATTCAATTCAGTGGTTCTCTAAAAGAAGACATTTGTAAATATTTCCCATAGGGTCCTATGTTAAACTAATTTCCCCGCAGGGGGCCATCTTGGATGATGGATCGGCTTCAAAGTAACAACACTTGGTCAGCACCTCATAAGGAACATTCATGCCATGTTTGGTTTAATTCCATTCAGTGGTTCTCTAAAAGAAGACATTTTGTATCCCCCGCTGGCGGCCATCTTGGATGATGGATCGGCTTCAAAGTAACAACACTTGTTCAGCACCTCATAAGGAACATTCATGCCATGTTTGGTTTCATTCCATTCAGTGGTTCTCTAGAAGAAGTTCAAAATGTAAAAAGTTAACGACGACGACGGACGACGACGACGACGGACGACGACGACGACGGACGACGGACGCCAAGTGATGAGAAAAGCTCACCTGGCCCGAAGGGCCATGTGAGCTAATAAACACCTCAGGTCAATTTTTATAATGACCCTGCAATACAAAATACAAATACAAATAATCAGTACATAGAAAGATAACTCTGTTCACTTCAGATGACAATAGAAAAAAAACAGTACCCAAATATTTCCTATTGGAAAACTGTAGTTTTCCATGTTTTGGACTTTTAAAATTATGTATGAAGAAAAGAATATAAACCATGAGAAATTTTTAATTCATCATAAATTATACATCTTTATATTTAACATATGAAGTTCTACAAAATATTCTACCGATAGTCATTTTTATGTCATTCTATCAAAATACATTGTATTAGTACACATAAAGCAAAGTGTACATAACACAATAAGCTTGCTAAAAGCTATATTATAGCCGAGCTTAAGACATATGTTAAGCACAAAAACACACATATAACCAGAATACAAAATCTATCATGTAGGAGGTACAAAGGTCCTGTATTCACAAATCTCGGGAACCTATTGTACTACATCATATACAATATTGGAACAGTGTGGTTCAATATCTGTAATTAAAACATAATAATAGTATGTGGTATATATATAAATTATGTCTTAACATACAAATTATTATTTTTGATACTATTTTATCTGGTCTCACTAAGTACCGACAAGAACAATTTTAGCGACAAGAAGAAAAAATTTAGAGACAAGAAGGCAAATCTAGCGACAACAAAGTTATAATACTGTTAAAACAATAAATTTATATAAAAAAAAGGTAAATAGTTACAGATTATTATTGTTTTTTAAAAACTTTCAAATGTTGTTGCATTTAGTAGTCATGCCATCTTGTAGTGAATTTTTAGTAAAAACAAATACTTTAAAGCATTTATGAATCTGAACATTTTTTTACAATCCCAGAATCATAATGGTGTCGCAACAGTGAAGTAATCTTGATAAATAAAATTATGTAAATAACAAAGAGCTGGGCCATGAGCGCATGATACGCCTGTCGCTTTTTCAAAGAATAAAGTTTCATACATGCATGTAACACCTCAATGTCATATCAGAAATTTATAAAAAAAAACTAAAGGGAGGTTATTTCTATAGATATAAACCAGTCACCAAAGTTTCATGAAAGCTACTCAAAGCACTTTTGAGTAATTGTCTGAAAATTGGAAAATCCCCTTTTTTTATGAATAAAATCTCATAACTCGGAAACGTAAAATCTAAAATTTATAAAAATCGAAAGGGAGCTCACATCAATAGATATAAACAATTCACCAAAGTTCCTTGCAAATTGGTGAAAGTGTTTTTGAGTTGTCCGAAAATTGGAAAATCATCCCCTTTTTAATGAATAAAACCCCATAACTCAGAAACGTAAAATCTAAAATTTATAAAAATCGAAAGGGAGCTTACGTCAATAGATATAAACAATTCACCAAAGTTTCATGAAAGCTGCTCAAAACATTTTTGAGTTATTGTCCGAAAACTGGAAAATCACCCTTTTTTAATGAATAAAACCCCATAACTCGGAAACGTAAAATCTAAAATTCATAAAAATCGAAAGTGAGCTCACATCAATAGATATAAACAATTCACCAAAGTTTCTTGCAAATTGGTGAAAGTGTTTTTGAGTTGTTGTCCGAAAACTGGAAAATTCCCCTTTGTTAATGAATAAAACCACATAACTCGGAAACATAAAATCTAAAATTTAAAAAAATCGAATATATATAAACAATTCACTAAAGTTTCGTGCAAATTGGTAAAAGAGTTTTTGAGTTATTGTCCGACATGTTGACGACGGACAGACCAAAGATGTCCACCAAATACGAATTCAAATACATTGATTGATTGATTGTTGGTGTTTTAACGCCACTTTAAAGCGACACATTTGGGCTATTTCGTGGCGGCCAGTTTTTATTGGTGGAGGGAGCCGGAGTGCCCGGAGAAATTCAAAACCACCGACCTTCGATAGGAAAACTGACAATCCTAGTCAATTAAGATTGGAGTCGAGTGCACCCGCACGAGCAGGGTTCGAACTCACAACTTCAGTGTTGACTGGCTAGTGATTACAGTAGTAGAACTACTTAGACCACTTGGCCACCGAGGCCCCTCGAATTCAAATACACCATTCAGTTCAAAATATAAGCAAATTCTAACAAAACAAAAGAATTTCCCCCCAAAAAAGACATACGACTTAATTAACCAATTATCATATAAAGAAGGGAAAGTTTTTATACCACAATTAGTAAAACCTAGAGAGTAAACAAATATCCAATGTATCAAAACTCACTGAGCCATGAAGAAGTCTTGCAATAAATATACTGTGACCACTGATGTATGACTAGAAACTACTCAATAAGTATCCAAACTAACATACGTACCACATAAACATCATGATGAGAGATGAGACTACTAAAACACTGAATTGATTCTGCCTCAAAATAGCTTATTTAAAAATGTAATAAAAATCATGAAATTCTGATTCAAACTGATAATATTTCATCTAAAAAAGATTGAGCGTATACTGACGATTCTTTTCTATTTTCCTTTAGTCCAAGTATATGTACACGACATTTAAAATTATGTTTTTATGCAACGGAATCAGTGGCGTAGCTTGGCCATTTTCAAGTGTACGCACGAACCTCATCGAGGGGTTTAAGGTTTGCTAAGCTGATCCAGGGCAGATGACCTCCTGGTAGGGGGCGAAACCCACGTTATTGAGAAAGAGATATTAGTATCTGTCATTAAAAAACTCATCAATAGCAACATACTTGGTCGGTTAAGACAAAAACTTTACGACAAAAGAAATGATTTCAGCTTCCAATTCTATGTAGCAACATTCCAGCAGCACCTGCATATGGAGTATATACCTCACAGCTGATAAGATATTCCAGAGCTTGCATTTCATATCATGATTTCCTTGATAGAGGGTTGCTGCTTACAATGAAGCTAATGAACCAAGAGTTCCAAGTGGTGAAGTTGAAATCATCCCTTCGAAAATTTTACGATCGACATCACGAGTAAGTTGACCGTTATGGAATATCTGTTTCACAGAATGCTAATGACGACGGATCTGTTCCAATTGTTGATATTACCACAATCCCGACCTCTTTTCCTAGAATGTGACCTACCGAATTAGACTTATCACTGGGTTTTTACTTACATCAGCAACACGACGGGTGCCACACGTGGAGCATTTGCTTACCCTCCGGAGCAACTGAGATCACCCCCAGTTTTTTGGTTGGTTTCATGTTGCTCAGTCTTTTATTTCTATGTTGTGTTTTGTATACTGTTGTTTGCCTTTTTCGTACTTTTTCGTATTTTGCCATGGTATTTTCAGTCTGTTTTCAACTGATGAGTTTGAATATCGCTTTGGTATATTTTGCCTCTAGTTTAGAGTCTGTTAAATTTATTCATTGTGTTGATTTGAAATCTAATGGTCATTTGTTTGAGAGAAAAATGTCAAAACTAGTTCCTTAAAATGTTTAAAACGAGATGTGCGGTAAACGACAATCGACAAAAGAATCAAAACTTTATAGAGATAGTGAAAAAGCAAGTCTCCATTTTAATGTTGTCGTTCTATTCATTTTTTTTATCTTATCTAATTTACTCACCTTTTTACACGCAAATTTCGTTAATTGACACATGACCTAATTAATTTTCATAGATGGCCAAGTGTAACGTAAAAATGAATACTGAACTGTAACATAAAAATGCAAGCCACATCGTATCTCAGCAGATAGTGAATTGCTTTAAGTAAAATAGAGTCAGACTTTGATAGAAAATGAACAAATATATAATATGATACCATTTGATTAAAAAGTAAATTTCGTCAATTGGTCCTTTATCTTTAATTACAAGTCATCGAAGAAAGAATTACAAGGATCCGTGTGCTTTTAATCAGTTCTTTTCATTCATTTGGGTTAAAATATTTTTTTCTTTTAAATTTATTTGCACACCCGGGCGTTTTGACGTAAACGTAGCTACGCGCATGGGAATTAAAGAATACTTTTAATTTTTAGTGTTCAAATAAGAAACATGATAGGAAAGCAATATCCTAAGACAGTAGCCATAGTTTTGCAATTGCAAAGCGAAAACATCGATAAAATTCTTTTAGGTCACTTCGCTTTATTTTCTCTTGTTTATTCTTTTTTTCCCAAAAAGACTTGTTCTGTTACAAAAAATTGTTGCAGTTAATTCCCTTTGTATACATGTTCCAAAAAAGTCTTAATTGAATCGTCGTTACACTGCAAAAATTGTAAACAAAAAATGAATGCCAGAATTTAGAACGTTAATGAGTGTTAATCGAGTTATAAATTAAGATAGAAGAAGTGCACAATTCGCATTTTAGTTGTACAGTGATTGAACACTAGCGATGTCTAGAAAACTTCTTCACTCTGTGACAAATACAAAAGGAGCTTTTGTTAGGAGCGAATCAAAATTCCGGAACTTCATCACAGGTAAGGTTGACAAATTAGGCTATGTTTACTCTGAGTTTCGTTTGACTGTTTGATACGGTCCACTCATTTTCACAGTTAAAACCACATATTTTTGTGCATCTCTATTTCTTTGTTCACTCAAGTTATTATTTTTACATGACGAGGAGAATATCACACATTATTTTTATTTTGCACCTTTTTTTGTTGGAATGAAAAAAAAATTGAATCTCAAATTCAAGGATCATTTTTTTTGAGATATGACATGTATTTGATTTTATTTATCTATGTCCTGTTTGTGGTGTGAATGTGATTAGGGGGGGGGGATTCATTCAGATCCGTGGTTTTTATCTGATTTTGGACAATAGCAAATTATTTTTTTTAAATATTTTTTATAATGTTTGTTTAAGTATTTTCTTACTTCTGAATTTAAAGTTCAATAGACGTTGCGTTCTGAATAAATTTCTTTAATTCAATTTTATTTATGATTCAGTCACAATATTTTTTTAATATCTGTCTCTAAAGTTGTGTGAAAAAACAAATTTAAAGGATTATGAAAATGTACACTAAACAAGGGCATGTTTGTCGAAGGTGCCTTAAGACATATCTTACGACGAGTGTCTCAGTTAGGACATGATTTTGGATGAAGTTATGACTGTCCTACAAAATGTCAGAGCATGCACATCAAAGCTCTCTTAGGATTATCTTAATAAGAAAAAACAAAGGATATGGGGCGAGACAAAAATAATAGGAAGTTTCATAGGAAATTTCCTGTATTTTTATCAAAAATATCTTACTCAATATCGTCATATCTAAAAATAATAATCTGCAGCGGTCTTATTTAGGGAAGAATTACTATTTTACTTTTTGGGGACATGACCACAACTCACAATATGTTTTAAAGCGTCTAGTTCTTTTTGTATAGAGATAATCTTTTCAATGTCCGTTTTTAGCTCACCTGGCCCGTAGGGCCAAGTGAGCTTTTCTCATCACTTGGTGTCCGTCGTCCGTCGTCGTCGTCGATAACTTTTTACATTTTGAACTTCTCCTAGATAACCACTGAATGGAATGAAACCAAACATGGCTTGAATGTTCCTTATGAAGTGCTGACCAACTGTTGTTACTTTGTATCTGATCCATCATCCAAGATGGCCGCCAGCGGGGACTTCGTTTAACATAGGACCCTATGGACAATACATACAAATGTCTTCTTTTAGAGATCCACTGAATGGAATAAAACCAAACATGGCATGAATGTTCCTTATGAGGTGCTGACTAAGTGTTGTTACTTTGAAACTGATCCATCATCCAAGCTGGCCGCCAGAGAGGGACTTAGTTTTACATAGGACCCTATGGGAAATACATACAAATGTCTTCTTTGAGAGAACCATTAAATGGAATGAAATAAAACATGGCATGAATGTTCCTTATGAGGTGCTGACCAAATATTGTAACTTTGTAGGTGATTAATCATCCAAGATGGCCGCAATCGGGGGACTTTTTTTAAGATAGGACCCTATGGACAATACATACAAATGTCTTCTTTTAGAAAACCACTGAATGGAATGAAACCAAACATGGCATGAATGTTTCTTATGAGGTGCTGACCAAGTGTTGTTACTTTGAAGCCGATCCATTATCCAAGATGGCCGCCAGAGAGGGACTTAGTTTAACATAGGACCCTATGAGAAAAACATACAAATGTCTTCTTTTAGAGAACCACTTAATGGAATGAAACCAAACATGGCATGAATGTTCCTTATGAGGTGCTGATCAAGTGTTGTTACTTTGTAGCCAATCAATCATCCAAGATGGCTGCCAGCGGGGAACTTAGTTTAACAAAGGACCCTATATGAAATACATACAAAAGTCTTCTTTTGAAGAACCACTGAATGGAATGAAAACAAACATAGCATGAATGTTTCCTTATGAGGTGTTGACCAAGTGTTGTTACATTTTGTAGCAAATCCATCAACCAAGATGGTTGCCAACGGGGGACTTAGTTTAACAAAGGACCCTATGGAAATATAAACAAATGTCTTCTTCTAGAAAACCGCTTAATGGATTGAAACCAAACATGGTATGAACGTTTATTTTGAGGTGCTGACCAAGTGTTGTTACTTTGTAGCTGATTTGTCATCCAAGATGGCTTGCAGCAGGGGGAGTAAGTTTAACATAGGACCTTATGGGAAATACATACAAATGTTTTCTTCTAGAGATCCACTGAATAGAATGAAACCAAACATGGCATGACTATTCCAAATGAGGTGTTGACCAAGTATTGTTACTTTGTAGCCGAACCATAATCCAGGATGGCCACCAGCAGGGGGACTTAGTTTAACATAAGACCCTATGGGGAAATACATACAAATGCTTCTTCTAGAGGAGCACTGAATGGAATGAAACCAAACATGGAATAAATGTTCCTTATGAGGTGCTAATGAAGACCTTAATACATATATCTTTCTAGATTGAGATATACTGTAAACTGTAAAAATATCAAGAAAAGAAGATCTACACATAAGTCAACATGAGCAAAATTGTCAATTGACATCTTGTTGGAGTTATTGTCCTTATAAAGTCATTTTCTACAATTTCAATGAATTCATTGGTAATTTCTGTAAACTTTACAAAAGTCTTCTGCTTTTGATTAAATTACGGGGCCAATATTAAACTAATATTAAGTTGTAAAACTTGTGCCTCATCCATTTGTTTAGTTTCTGAACAATAAAATATGTTTTAACTAAAAACCAAATTTGGCCTCAATCATTATTAGGGTATCTGTTATGATTTTAATCTATTTTAACATGATTTCCAAAACCAAATTAGAATCAGGTGAGCGACACAGGTTCTTGAGAGCCTCTAGTTATCATGCAGTTCTTGTCCATCAGTGACTTTGCCATTACTTGAAGGATTACAGTGACTTTAATCCGTTTTTGATTAACGTTTATTGTTACTCTTAAAAGTGCTTATTTTATGTTTTGTACTTTTATTATGTAATCTTAATTCTTTGGTAGCCTGTAAAACATTATCTCTCTTTACATTCTTCTAGCTGAAGCCCTTCTCTGGGTGCGGGATTTATTCGGTGTGTTGAAGACCTATTGGTGGCCTTGGGCAATTTCTGCTTTTTGGTCGGGTTGTTGTCTCTATGATACCTTCCCCGTTTCCATTCTCTATTTTATCATTCGTTTACTCTCAAACGAACATGAAGTATTTATTAAATACAAACTGGGTACTGCTCGCCAGCATGAGCAGCTTATTTATTGAACACGGATAGATTAATGGTAACAAAAATATTGAGTCCATCAGGTAACAGTGACCAGTGTGTTAAACGCGACAGCCTACAAAATCAAATTTGAGCAGTGAGAAACATGTTAATGTATAAAAAAAAAGAAACAAAACAATCACGTATTCAAGAGCTGAGATATGGGAAACTTTTTATCTAACTAAGTTGAACTGAATACGAGCTTCGAATGACAATACTCCTCTTAATTTACTTATGAAAAAAAAACTATTAAACTCTCTTAAAAAGGACCGTGGTAAAAAATGTCATATTCAACCGATTAGCGCATTGCGACAAATACTGACCATTCCGAAAAATTATTTGTTTTTAATTAAAAAAAAAACTGTTTAATATGTAAACACCAATGAGACATACAAGCCCATGTGTTTGTTGACAACAACAGAAATACGTTAATGCTCAACTTAAACATATTTATAACATGTAGATTGAAGTGTAGTCTTCAGTTGGAGTCAGCCTTTGAACAGATACCATTCTTTAACAAAATCCCTTACTGAAAGTCATTGTTTGTAATCGCACTACAAGTCTGACAGTTAGTTCTTGTCATATAAGAAATTCAAGGCCATAGTGGATTTGTTTTCTAGAGACAGACGACCAGTCTTTGGTTGGTCACCAAAATAAAGTGTTGTTACATAGACACGGCTATATTTGTCAATTTCTTCTGATAAACCTTTAGTTAGTTTTCGACATGTACTACAATATTTGATAGTATGCTTGATAAATATGTTTTGGAAGTTTTAAATTGATGGAAAAGTACATCTCATGAGCATTTTCGACTGTTGTCCAATCACATGCTCCATCTTTAAACTTAAGAATAATTGATAGCACATTTTGTATATTTTCTTACCTCCTGTACATTTCTTGGAGTATCATTGGTTAAAAGCTAACACATGGAGACCCTGTATATTCAATGTTGGGTTAGTGGGAGTGTTTTATTTTAACATGGTTAGTAGCAGTGTTACGTCAAAGACGTTAAAGAAAAATCTGAAACATATCGCACAAACAACAGATGAAAAAATTGATGATAAACGATTGAAAATAAATGCAGAAAACACTTTAAATGCTAACAAATTGCTATTGTTGATATTTGTTTTTGTGTAGACCAATGTCAGTAGGCTCTTAATATTGAAGACTTGATCACTAGCAAACTGTGTAACTAATGATATACCGAAAGCAAACATTTAAATCTTGTTTAACTTTAATAACATGCTCTATTCACAGAGGCGGATTTTGCCTCTTATGGAGCTACATGTTATATGATTAATGCATAGACTTTTTATACGTCGCACTCCAAACGCTGCTTAATTAGTTTGGTGCCCCCTTTTAAATCCTGGATTCGCATCCGATTCAGGAGTTATACTATCAAGTTTGTTTTCCTGTCTATCTTTGACCTATGATATTCAATTGACCATAAGTATCTTCTTAACTTGTTATCCTCCACTAACAGACACACAACAACAACATTACATGATGGTTTGGAAGTAAAAGTGGTTGTTATATCTTTCTATATTTTTTATTTGAAGCGGACGGATCCTCTGAGTTTCCAGCAGAAGCTAATCGTTATCATTTATACGTATCACTGGCATGCCCATGGGCACACCGTGCGCTTATAGTGCGGAGTATTAAAGGATTAGAAGATATCATTTCGTGTACAGTTGTTGATTGGTTCATGACAGATAAAGGATGGAATTTTACTGACAAGGTAGTTTTATTAGATGTTGTCTAGGAAACAAGATTAACCTGGTTCTATGCTTATTATTAGCAGTCTGCAATTACATTTTATTTAGATTTAAGAATTGTTAAAAAATAATTTCTCTTCAATACTATTGTACAAACTTGACATGGATGTGAATATAAAAATAGTTTTATGTCATTATTCGATAAATACATGGATTTTCCATCGTATGAATTTAAATAAAGCGATGGTATTATAATTGATGTTGTCGGAATTTTAAGTCGACATTGAACATTTTCATATATTTGTTGAACTATTTGGGAAAGGATAATAAAAAAATGTTATGTACATTAATATTCAGTACGGATTGCATTTAGTCACTACTGTATATAAATTTGGTTCCATTCAATTAATTATTCTTGATCTTAAGTTTTTTTTCGATTTTTTCGCATTCGAAATCCCCTCCCCATCCCCCACTATTCCCCTCCAAAAAATATACATGAAATATGGAGGAACTAGTGGATCCCGAAACAACTTTTACTAGAAATCGAGAGTCGCGTTGATTAATATATACATTCTGTTGTGTTATTCAAAATAAAGGAAAGGGTAGGGTACTCAATCTATCAGCTGCTCATCTCTACCGCAAAAAGGTCGAGTATTCCATTTTATTCTTTTTCGCAAAATTGCCTCTGCAATTCTGATTCACTTTGAATGATATGTTTCAGTAGTTCTGAAGCTCTGTTGCATTATTTAATGAGATTTGAGGTGACGGGTATGGTAATGATACCGTTTCAACGTACAAGGCAATTTTGATTGGAAGATGATTAAATAGGGGTCTTTTTTTAGGGGTCACTGTAGATTATTTGTTGTATCAGTTAGATGTTTCTTTAAATGCATCTCTAATTCAAATGTTATGTTTATATACCTTTCAGAAGGACAAATGTACTTTAGATACTGTGAATGGAAAAGAATTTCTCCGACAGGTTTATGAAATAGCTAGTCCCAGTAAGTCCTCTGTGATGCATGTCTGTATTTAATCTTTTGTTTTTATCTGTCAGTCTCTCATATAAAAATACTTGATCCTTTTTTGAAACAGTAAATAAACTACTTAAATGTTCATATTCGAAGCTATAATGCATCTCAAGCGGATTCATTAGTGCGCTTAAAAAGAACAAATTATATAGATGTAATGCAAGTGATATATAACTTACCTAATTGTGTCTGGTTAGTACTTGATATGTTTAAACTTCCCTACCAAATGTCAATCGGAAAACTGGAAATCTGGTGCTTAGCTCGTGAGGGGCAAGCAGTTCCTGCTCAACATGTTATAAGTTTAAATTCTCAGAAAGTTTTCCTATATTGGTGGCAGTGTTTGATGTCTTCCGATTGACATTTGGTAGAGAAGTTTAAAAATATCCAAGTACTAATCAGAAACAATAAGGAAAGTTGACGTTATAATATTTTCTATTGTTTATTTTGTTATTCTTTAAGCGGTTGAGCGTTCCTCGTGTAAAAGACTGATGAGATATAGATACTTTTTATTCAAATTCCAAAGAGAACCAAGATGTAAAAACATTTAAATACAGTCTATACCAGAAGTCTGGTAAGCTTAGGATAACTGAAATCCAAAGTAAAAATGTCAAGATACACTTACTAATTACTTTTTAAAATATTTATGTGACCATGTTAAGGCTGTGGCATTTTTTTAAAGACAAAAATAGTCTTTGTAGAACAAAATATGCATTAAGGAAAACCATAATTAACAAAGTTTTATTTAATATGTCATAGATTACGATGGACGGACAACAGTACCACTGCTTTGGGATAAAACAAAGAAAACTGTTGTTAACAACGAATCCAGCGAAATCATACGAATGTTAAATTCTGAATTTAATGCATTCTGTCCAACGAAAGAGCAATCATCTATCGACTTGTATCCAGAGAAACTACGATCACAAATTGATGACGTTAATTCCTGGATTTATACGTAAGTTTTTAATTTTAAATCGGTTTCAAACGAAGCTATAGCTTTGGTAGATAATATAATTTTTCAACTTCACTGAAAAATATTTTAAATAGCCTTTCAAGACGTCATAATTATTTGGACTAGGAAGATTTCATATGTTACTCATTTCATTAATACTGTTATTATTTACAACCTTAGAATGGCACCATTGTCGAATTCAGCATACTTATTTGTATTGTTTATCGTTTATTTGTGTTTCTATATAGTAGCAGTCCGATTGTTTGGATTTTATACTAATAAAATATCTTATCTTAATTTCAGAGACATAAACAATGGCGTATATAAATCAGGATTCGCCCGAACTCAGGAGGCATATGATACTGCTGTCACAGCTCTATTTAAATCGTTAGATCGAGTGAGTATATGGATTTGCAGTGTTTGCTATTATTGTAAAGATTTTGTAACAAAAATGTAATAGTGTTCAGTAACATAGAATAGTCCTACCCATAATGTTATGCTATACGTGCCATATTATGACTTTTGTAAATAATTGCTTTGCCTCTTTTCTCTATCATTTATTTAAATATTCTTTGAGAATTGATTTTTACTGATCTGAAATATATTTCGTTTATTTAATCTGCAAGTGTTTTTAGTACATGTGTTTTTAGTACAAGTGTTTTAGTACAAGTGTGATTAGTACATGTGTTTTTTTGTGTGGTAAACGTCAATGACAACAATTTCAAAACAGTTTGTGTGCTATTTTTATCTTTTAACAATTTGACAATAACCATTTAAGACAAATAACCTAAAATAAAACCATAGATAACCAAGAGGTTAATATAACGACTTTTCGGTGATAAACATGTACCCATACCAAATGTAATGCTCTAAATTGCCTCGAAGTATATACAAAATTGTGAATGAATTTAATAGAGGTCTACCGGCAATACAAAATATCCAAAAACGAAATAATTTAGAAGCTCCCATCATACATCTGATATAAACTTAGTCTTTCTTTATTATCTTGACCAGTAGAATAACAACACAGGGAAAAAAATCTGAGAAAGCGCTACTTTTCTCAATGATATCAGTATGACAAACGAAAGAAACACTGGTATATGAAAACAATTAATGAATGGCTATTATTTATTTTGAATTTATTGAACCATGAAATTAATTTTTGACTCTTCACATTGAATAATCCGCGAAGCGGATTATGTAAAATGTGAAGAGTCAAAAATTAATTTTATGGTTCAATAAATTCAAAATAAATAATAGCCATTCATTATAAATAAATTTCTTTCAAAAATAAGGCTCAAAGAGCTTTTTATATTATTTATATTAACAATAACAACGTACACACATGTTGGCGTATGAATATACACAACGTCAGAGTGGGCGTGTCGCCATAAAAATTGACAACATTGAAAATAAAGGTAATACTTTTAACCAATCAAAAGACAGTAACTACACCAAATTTATTTATTAGCAAATATCAGTATGACAAACGACAGAAACACTGGCTTACATGAAAACAATACCAAATTTTGGTATAACAAACGACAGAAACACTGTTGCATAAAAACAATACCAAATATTATTATGACAAACAACAGAAACACTAGCTCGGTTACATAAAAACAATACCAAAAATCGGTATGACAAACAACAGAAACACTCGGTTACATGAAAACAATACCAAATATCGATATGACAACGACAAAAACACTGTTACATCAAAACAACACCAAATATCGGTACGACAAACGACAGAAACACTAGCTCGGTTACATGAAAAAGTACCAAATACCGGTACGATAAACAACAGAAACACTCGGTTAAATGAAAACAATACCAAATATGGGTATGAAAAGAGACAGAAACACTGTTTCATGAAAACAATACCAAATATCGGTATGACAAACAACAGAAACACTCGGCTACATAAAAACAATACTATAGATTGCAACGTTAAATACGCGCTTACAAATTGTTTAGACCAGTCTGAAAATATTTTATCTGGCTTATATAGGAAACTATGTCTTCTTACTTTGCAAGTTACTTAAAATCTTTTACATTTTCAGTAGATTTTTCCCTTGAGCTTGTTTATTTATATAATAGCTTGTTCAAGTAACACGAGATTTATATTAATACTGTAAGCCTCATAAAAAATGAAAACAACACGTTATAAATTTCATGCGTCCGAAGCGCTTTTCTGGATTTACTTTCATCAGAAACGCTTAAAGTCGAATATTGAAAGCCAAGAATGTATAGTAACCTAAACAGTTGAAGAGCAATATATAGCCAAATTTATTTAAGATCAACTTTGCCTGGGGGAGTTGAAAACTCATAACAATAGATTTACATATACTATAAGAATCATGATATCTTTTTTGCGTGAACCCACCCCCTTATATCTTGCCGAGTTTTGGAAGCTTCTGTGGGCCATTCGGATATCTTTTGAAACGAGATTCTCGGAACCTCTCCAAAATTTTCGATTTTATGCAGGTAGTTTTCTATGTCTTTTATACCAGAGGCGGATTTAGGGGGGGCAGGGTACCCGGGCTCCCCCTTTTGTGGGAAAAAATTGGTTGATTATATAGGGAATCACGAAGGCATGACTGGAGCGGGCCCTCTCTTAGGCAGTCAGTGGGCCCCCCTTATGAAAATTCCTGGATCCGCCACTGGATACGGTCCCTCTATGGATAGGCTACCACTTGACATTGTATATTTCAACACAGTTCATTTGTAGATCGGAAAGTAAAAAAATAAAGACTAGATTGCAGTAAAAAATCATTCATATTTTGGAACCTATTTGCCTTTTGACAAACATATGTTTTTTTAATAATACGCATATTATCAAATATTATATAATATCAATTATAAAGATATATAAACGCAATTATATAATGCATGTTTTGAGACGGTCCCTGTACGCGTTGTGTGTGTAGTATTACATACAACGTGCTATTGTGCATTGTGACAATAAACCTGGGAATAGTTAACTTTATTGATATATAATGTCCCAGAATAAACTTATTATTTCTGAACGTTTACGACGTGAGATTTTGTATTTTAATCAAAGCCTGGGAAAATGTCAGAAAGCATGAAGAAAATTAACAAAACGATATTTCTGTTATAAATATTTATCTTAGATCTGAAACACAGTGGTCGGAGAGCAGAGAGATGCTTAAAAACAAAAGGATTTTTCTGTCAGAAATATTTAATTTCATTAATAGATACACCAAGAGAATATTCTTTAAAATGATTGTTTAAACTGAGACTAAATTTATCCTTAATAGAATATAATTGCAATTGTTATACATGTATTAGGTCGAAGAGGTTTGAACAGTGAATACATTTATAAAACTATTTGCAACATATGAGCATCAATGAGCAGAGATGCGTACACATAAGTTAGTATCTAAATTTTAAACGGTAGTGAATGAAAAAATACTTTCATAGTTTCAATTCACAAGGAATTTAAATCCTTGCATCTCACGAAAAGCGTAATTAATATTTTACAATAAAAAAACAAATAATTACTACGTTAATTACTTTATACTGTATTAGTATGGCTTTATAAGTCTCTACTTATATTGTATGTATCAATATATTCATATAATGGAAAGTTAGACTTTAAGAAGAGATTGATTTGATAAATAAAATGTCCATAAGAAAAAACACGACGTTTGTGTTTATTGATATTATATTTTAAATTTCCAGGAAAGATTCATTATCCGGAATGTATGTTAATCACATTTCAATTCTTTTTTTCTTTTTTTTATGTAAAAAGTTCCAACTTATAGGACTAGATCTTTGTAATATGGTACGATTTTGAAAATTGTATTTATTGTGTTGACCAAGCTATCCTACACACGTCTTGGTTCATTTACATTATATACCATACTTTGCGATCACACAAATTCCGGATTAAATGGCAATGAATCCGGAGTCAAAACACTTGAGGTAGGTAGTTTGACATCCGAATTCAACTATTAAACATTAGATTTGAGCCTAGATTAATATATGTGATGACGCAAATGCATATTCTTATCTTAAGTATCAGTGCGTATGCTTTCCATTTACTATTTCTTGCGCAAGAAAACCACGTGCATGGATAAATATTAATTTCACTCGCGAATGTGAATTTTCGCATTTCTTATCTAAATTCCGGACACGGCAGTAAGAGCTTGACATGTGACTTTCAAGCATTGGTCATTATATAAATAACACATAGCTGACAGGGTGATAGAGCAGATTGTTACCCCAAGAAAACATTGTCATCCGCGGCGAAGCCAAAGTTGACAATGTCTTTTCGAGGGGAAACAATCTGATCTACCACCCTCTCAGATATGTGTTATTTACTTTATTATGCTGAATGTTCTGCTATTACTGTCTATTAAATTTCAAAGTAATAAACTATGACGTCTTGTACATAACAACCACCCAATAAAGCGCACATTTGATCAAGGATCTCCGTGAAGGGTAATAGAGTCTTTGCCATGGGATAGAGTAAATTGTCTACCTCGTATTAACCAATCAGAATCCTGCATTTTCACATGAAGTATAATAACATTACTTAATGTATTCTAACCTCTAGCTGTTTCTTTTTTTCTTTTTCTTTTTTGGGTGACTGTCCTATTGTAAACTTTGAAATTTAAGAAATACTAAGGATTTTCTACCCCAGGAATAGATTACCTTAGATGTACATGTATTCGGCAAAACCTTTGTTCCGAAATTTTGGGTCCTCAATGCCGTTCAACTTCGTACTTTATTTGGTCTTATTGACTTTATTTATTCGAGCGTCACTGGTGAGTCTTGTAGACTAAACTCGCGTCTAACGTACGACATTTTAACGCTGGCATCATTTATTTCATATATCTACATATTATATTTATATAAATTAGTTCTTTTGAGAGTATGTTCAGGTATTCATAAAACTTATGAAAATAAGATATACTTTCCTCAAAACCAAGATTTCCTGTGGAAAAGTTGGATTGATTTAAGTAACTTCAGGAAATCCTTAAAATTTGAGATGTTTTATGAGACCAAAATAATTGACAGTATATAATAGGTCCCAAACGAAGCCTCTGCGTTACCCTCAAGAAAACTATACGAAACCTTCCATTTTAAGTTGCATACCACACTGTTTCACTTCACATGGAAATTGGACTTTAAATTTATCTAAATAACATCTACCATGTGTAAAAACAGTTTCAATAACAAGTATAAGAATAATTGAAGACATCCAGAAAGCAAAATAAGAAGATATGAAAGACTGAATGAATGCATCCAGATTATTAAGCAAACTGAGTGCTTAAATTTATATTGCGATTGGTTTTTACAATTTGCATTAGATATCGACTTTGCAGAAAATGAGATTTGCAATAGGATTAAGAAAAAATACTGTACACTCCCAAGTAATAAATAAAATAATCATGCCTTAAAAGGTAAATTAAAATAGTAGCTGTATATATACACTTTTCTATTCACAACTAAAATCCAACATTGCTTTCAATTGACTTGTGCAAGAATCAACACACAATTACATATTTTCAATAAAGATGTTTTAACATCATCATTACGATACCTTATTCTATTCACAGCAAATTATTTCAAATCAAAAGCAAAAAATAGTCAGAAACAATTTTTGGTGACCAGTCAGCGGTCTCTGGTTCACATATTGCTTTTCTCTTTTGAAAGAAAGTAACTTGTTTTGTTTATTTGATACTTTCAACATTTTGCTCAATCTGATAACAAAGTTTGATCGTTTTACATGGTCTTTATCATTCAAGGACAGCAATTATCCTATTAATCATGTACTTAATGTAGGTTGAAGAGATACTTTCCAAGAGCAGGTATTTAGTTGGTGACCAGTTAACGGAGGCAGACATACGGCTATTTCCTACGTTGGTTAGGTTTGATGCTGTTTATCACGGTCATTTCAAGGTATGTTTATCTCAAATACAATAGACAATTCCAGACCTCAAGTTTCATATAGAGCTGTCAATAGTATATATAGAGGTACCGAATTATATCGTTTTTTAAACGTTAACGTACGCGTATCATTAAAGTCGAGCGTACATATATTGATTAATTCCAATAGTAAAAGAAAATGACCAGGTCAAATTTGTGAATCCTTTTTATAGCCTATGATTATGACTAACTGCTCATGCGTGAAACAGATTGGACCAGATACATCACTACGAATTCACCATGCAGTTCCAATAAATGTTAAAACTCATTAAAAATATAGCAGAATCATAATTAGGTACGTTAACATTTAAATAACGCTATAATTCGGTACCTCTATAAATACAATGCAACTATTGGCAGCTCTATATGATACACGAATTACAAACCCGGCTTATAGTGTGGTGATATCGAGAAGGATGGCCATCGAATGAGGAACAGTATAGGGGTGCCTTTTTTGTGTAACTAACTCTTCCAACAGCTTTGATGTCAGATCCTTGAAACTTCACAGAAAGATTGCACACATATTGATATTGTGCAACTGTTATTATTGAATTGTTTGCGGAATTTCGACCTTTTTACTGACCTGATTTTTAGCAAAATTACAATATTTTTTGGGGGTAAAATCAATTCCTTCTGTAGTTTTCAACTATAATCCTTGACGCTGCACAGAAAGTTGCTCTACCTATTATAGGGTGTTTAATATATTTTTTGCATTTTAAATTTCCATATATTCAAACGTTAATTATACACCATTAGCTATTATTTAAGGGACATCCAATGCAACCCGGTCAATTGAGTCTTAAATACAATATTATTTCGAATAAAAGAAATAAGTTTTCTTAAAAAATATCAGAATTGCAAACACACTGCAAGGTATACAATAATACCGAGTTACTTTATAAAGTGTTAATGGAAGGACATGTGTATCATGTGGAAATTTTCTCCCATGATTATTGCTCCTCATAAATGAATTACATTACTATTTTGTTCTCATGTTTTTCGGCGAGATATTTGTTGAGTAAAACGTGCTTTTTATAATGTTTTATGAAAACAATATGATGTTTATTGTAGTGTAACAAGAAAAGAATAATCGACTACCCGAACATGTGGAAGTATACAAGAGATATATACCAGACAGGTGGTGTATCACAAACGGTCGATATGTGTCACATAAGGTGGCATTATATGGTGAGTTGATCTTTGAACATTATCACTGAAGTGAAAAGAGAGTGTTGAACTGTTCTATTCAACCACAACAAATCGAACTTGGGAAATATTTCCGTTTAAACCCTCTTGTGTTGACGGAATAAGCTTAGAAATACATGAAGCGGGAAGAAAGTTTTGCCTGAACTCGTTAGAACATGTCTTAATCAGTTTAAAACGATATTAACTTTTTCAGTCATATATGTATACCATTGAAATGAGTTACTAAAATTACAACCATACCTTCTAATTTACCATGAGATAATGTATTTTTAGCGGTATTTTCAAAAGTGGTAAACGGAAATATAGTAGAATTTTGAGAGGAAATATGTATGAGGTATAAATACATACGAGATGAAACAGTCCTTTCCATTCACATGAAAGAAACAATATTATTTCTGTCAGTTATAATTTATAATCTATATATATGTATAGAATTTGTGATTACATAATATAAACAATATATATTATTTTTCTATTTACAATTTCAGTATAGCCATGAGAGTATTAACCCCTACAGAATAATTTCGGTTGGTCCTGACCTTGATTTCAATGAACCACATGGAAGAGAAAAAATGAAGCGTTAGCAATCAGATAGGATCGCATAATGACAGTTTATCAATATTTTATGGAAATATGAGGAGACAATTAAAAAGAAAGACTTTGAAACAATGCATTCGTTTATAAAGAATAAAAAACATTTACGTATCGTCGTTTCATTTTTAGCTCACCTGGCCTAAAAGGCCAAGTGAGCTTTTCTCATCACTTGGCGTCCGTCGTCGTTAACTTTTACAAAAATCTTCTCCTCTGAAACTACTGGGCCAAATTTAACCAAACTTGGCCACAATCATGATTAGGGTATCTAGTTTAAATAATGCGTCCGATGACCCCGCCTACAAACCAACATGGCCAACATGGCTAAAAATAGAACATAGGGGTAAAATGCAGTTTTTGGCTTATATCTCTGAAACTAAAGCAAAAGTATTATGGTTGCATTATTTCATGCATCAATTGTAAACAAAAATATCAGGTGAGCGACACAGGCTCCTTGGATCCTCTAGTTCCAGTTGCCACTTTCTAACATCTCTGGGTAATGCACAAAGGAATTGTAAGCTAAGATATTGTATGTGCATACTTCAGTTTTACTATTTGAACTTGGATGTTGGCGCTATGACTTAGTAATTTTATAGCTCTCTTAAAGCACTTTTCCAAGATTCTTGAACTACCACTGATTAGACTATCCTTCTGGTCTACTAGGCTAATCACATGGAAGGTAACATGTAAATGAAATTACAAAATATAAAACTTATTAGTTTCGTGCGTTCAAAGCGCTTTTCTGGATTTGACTTTATCGGGAAAATTAAAATCCAAACACTCCGATGCCAAGGATATATAGGACCTAAACACGTGAAGATCTATATGACCAATAGAGACATTAAAAAGGTCAAGTTTATCTATGGTCAATCTTGCCTGAGAAAATTTTCGTTTCTTATGTAAGATGTCTTTTATGTGTTGTTTGGTTTCGGTGTCTCATTGCATTATGCTCAACATCTATTTTAATTCACATTTTTTATTTCACTTTGGCAATTTAGTTATACTGATTGATATGTACTGATTGATATTTAAGTCTTAGATGCATGATTTTTTTATTAGTTGTTATTGGCTTTGAACTAGCTTTCAGTAACTGCGAGTACTCTCAGATCTGTACTTAGTGTTTTTTTTTGTTGTGGGAATGTATAAGTATCCTGCCACGTCCGATCTGTATTTCTGCTTTGTATCGATCTTATGAGTTAAGCCCTTTTCAACTGATTTTTATAATTTGTTCTTATATTGTACTGTTACACCATTGTCTTAGGTTAGGGGGAGAGTTGGCGCCTTCAAACTAGTTCAACCCCGCCACATTCTGTATGTACCTGTCCCAAGTCAGGAGCCTGTAATTCAGTGGTTGTCGTTTGTCGTTGTGTATCAAATTTGTTTTCGTTCATTATTTTGTACATAAATCAGCCGTTAGTTTTCTCTTTTGAATTGTTTTACATTTGTCATTTCGGGCCTTTTATATCTGACTATGCTGTATGGGTTTTGCTCATTGTTGAAGGCCGTACCTATTGTTGTTAATTTCTATGTCATTTGGTCTCTCGTGGAGAGTTGTCTCATTGGCAATCATACCACTTCTTATCTTTATATTTTATAGCACATGCTTTTGGTAAATAAAAACACAAAATCAAATAGAAATTTATTTGATAGTTGATGTATATAGAATATACGAACTGGTTATGTATGAAGACAAGAAGCTGCTTTTAATTACCTGGACACAGGCTGCTTCATGTAAATGGATCGGATTTTCATGGTTGAAAGTAGTAACAAGAAGATTAAATAAAAACATGCACAATATACAATTCCAATATTTATTTTACAAAATGTTTGTTTATTATTATAACTTTTCGTAGAACACATTCAGTACGTTTACCCTTTTGCATATATTTCATGTATCATATACTATTGATATCTTTTACAGGCACCATTTGACAGTTTTTATGTTCTTAGATATGGTCCGGGTACACAGTTATCGTCCTTTGATTTTCGTTGTCCGATATATATAGTCCCTAGTGTGGACAGTGTGTTACTTGTCGATTTGTTTTATACCCCTTTCAAATTTATTTCTCCATGTTTTATGACTCAAATAGTAAGTAGGGGGGTGAAATGACACTGTAAAAAAAAATGGGTCCTGAATTTTAAAGTAAAGTAGTGATTTGGTCCAGCTGAAAAATGTTAAAAATTAGCACTTCGGAAGCTGTCAAAAGATTTGAAGACTTTTGATATAATTTGTCCCAAAAGTAGTACAACACACTGTAAAAATATTATTGAGAAAGCGCAGGTGGGATTTTTTTAATTTTCATTTATTGTCTAAAAGAAATGCACTACGAAATAACTGTGTACTCGGACCATATGTTAAACAATCCACTTATATTTACAGTTATAAAAACTCTTATTGCATGCAACTTTCGTTTATTTGTGTTTTGATTACGCAATTTTCGATCATCATCATAACAGTTTGGCCCTTATTGTTGTAGAGTTTTTTTGGTGTTTCAATTAATAATATTTGTCACGGTGTGTTGCTGATTCAAGTTTTATACTTGCCAAAGAATTTAAATAAAGAGAGAGAAAGACTAAAGGAGGAGCGAAATAATTGCTGAAATGAACTTTGTTGTATTAAAGTTCACAAAAGAGATCGGATCCAGCAGTGATATCCTATCAAAACTATTTCTCGTTTTTGCCGAATACTCAAATTTGATCAAGCAAACTGATTGGCAAGCTTTATTTTTGAAATATAACACATTTTTAATTTTAATTTTGGAAATCAGAACTTTAGTATTAGTAAAATATCTTTGATAATTGTTCAATCAAACAAAACTAAAATAGCTATATGATCTCCTACATGACAAATAACGTTATTTTTTGTGTTGAAAAGCCACGAATAAATAGAAAACCAGATATTTCCCCCGTCATTTCGTGGAAAATTTGTAAGACAGTACACGGACATCAATCCAAATAAATTGTAGCTCATACACATCCGGAGATGCTTACTTAATTGACGTATCTAGCCTCACTCTATTTGGAGATCATACAGTCCCAACTGTTTTATGTTTCTTAATAAATATACGTTCAGAGTTTTAAAAATAAAATAAACAAAGATACAGATATAAAAAAAAACCATATGCTTAATAGTTTTATGAACGATCAAAGACGTGTGTTTGCAGTTACATATTAAGATTAAAATTTACATTATGAATTTATCATAAGTCATATTTACAAAGCAAAATTAAATTTAGGCAACAAAACGGTCGCATTTTTGCTTATTCAGAAGTTTCAGTAAATCGTCATTGCCAGCAATTCTTTTATTAGTTTTTGCGGATTGTAAACCAAACAAACTATGTTTATACTTGTTCAGCATATACTTGACCAAATTATTCATTCCTATTCTACAAGCATTGTTCCATATCGATTCTAAATCAATAACGCTATTTTTACATTTATCCAATAATATGCACAACACCATTTGTTCGTGATTATTGAAGCACGCATTTTCTATTGCAGAATCAAAATTAAAGGTCTACTGTTCACATAAGAAGTATAACAATATCTCGGTGCACAATCACTGTTGAATGCACACTCAATTCCTAATAAACTGTGATTAAATTGTAATAAATGTCCAACCACAAGAAGATTACCCCTTGCACATACCCAGTGCATGACCGATTTCCTACCAAACAAATTTGGGTCTACTTTTCTATATAAATATGATATGAACGCCGCATCATTTTTGTCGCAAGCGAATTTCATCACTGCGCGTACATCAAAATCTGCATGTATAGACTCCTTGTAGTAAAAACATTATCACATCCTTTTATTCTCTTTCTATAGCATTACTGATAATTGAGTTCAAATCAGATGATTGCAAATCAAAATTCTCAAGAAAATACTTTTATCATCCCGATGTTATCACTTACAGAAGTAGATTTCTTAACGGATGACATGTCGAATAAACTATGCGCTGCATTTTCTAAAAGATATATAACCATTTCATCGTTTCTATTTTCACATGCCCATATTCCATGACAGTATATCTATACCAAACAAAATTTGGTCCAGTTTTCTCAACATCATTTGTATCGCACGCTTGGTTTATTACTGTACGTACATTTAATCTGCTTGGATTGACTCTTTCTAGTATGAACATTATAATTAAGTCTTTTTATTCCTTTCTACAGCAAATCAGATGATTGCAAATCGAAATTCTCAAAAAGGAATTTTATCATCTTTTATTAGAGCGTTTACCAGAACTGATTGAAAATTGAATTCGTCTTATTTTTATACGCCCGTCAAAATTTTGACGGAACATATTATGGTATACAAATGTCCGGCGTCCGTCTGTCTGTCTGTCTGTCCGGCGTCCACATGTCGCACCTTAACTTGAGAAAGACTTATCCAAATTTCATGAAACTTAACATAGTTGTTTCTTATGATGGTCAAACGATCTGTATATTTTTTTGGTGAAAATAAGATTAAAACTTTTTGAGTTACGGGACTTTGTAACTAAAACAGGGGGTGTTTTTTTTCACATGTCGCGCCGTATCTCAAAAACGATTTATGATTATTGCTTAAAACTTTACACACTTCTTAGTTATATTATTCTAAAGGTCTGTATACGTTCTGGTGATGATTCAAAATTTTATTTTAGAGTTATTGAGTTTTTTGTAAAAAAGGGGAGAGAGGGGGTGTCACATGTCGCGCCGTATCTCAAAAACGATTTATGATTATTGCTTAAAACTTTACACACTTCTTAATTATACTAATCTTAAGATCTGTATACTTTTGTGATGATTCAAAATTTTATTTTAGAGTTATTGATTTTTTTTATAAAAAAGGGGGGTTTTCACATTTCGCGCCGTATCTCAGAAACGATTTATGATTATTACATAAAACCTCACACACAAAACGACGGGCGTATCATGCGCTCGTGGCTTAGCTGTTTATTAAATATGTTTTTAGAAAGATTTCAGTTTTCGATTGCCAATTTGAAATGCCTAACTAATAGCTGTTTACACATTGAACAAATTATACTCACTATTTTCTAACAGATACATCACCAATTCATCGTTTCTATTCTCACATTCCGATTCAATTACAGTATTGATATCA